TCAACTCCCAGAATTCCTCAGCCAGCTTTGCTGGCTGAGGAATTCTGGGAGTTGAAGTCCACAAGTCTTAAAGTTGCCAAGGTTGGACACCCCTGGACTAGACTTTCTTTTCAGACCTAGTTCCAGTTCTTCTCGATCAGGGCTGTCAAATTCACAACCAGATGTGTCATGCGCTGGGCACACCCACGCCCAGTTTAGCGAAGGACAAAAGTTGAGATACTTCTTGTGACGACGCCATGACCACGTGAGTTTGGCACCTCTATTCGAGATTCTTCTCTTGCAGCCTCAGGCATTTTTTCTTTTCATTTCCGCAAAGCTGAACAGGTGGTTTAACGTTATCTAGTTTGGTAATGAAACACCTGCAAACAGATCCAAGTTCAGAGAGGACAAGGATTCCACAACTCATCATCTTATCTCACGATCTTTGATAATTCTGCTCACTTCCTTTTATTCTTATTGGATGTGTCCTCTGTATTTTTTTTCCTTTCCTACTAAAATGGGAATTATAATTACTGTTCTCCAGCCTGGAATGGTGATTTCTCAATATGCATTATTTGTAGAGATGTCCATAACTTCTTACCGGACCTGGCTCAAAAGTAGGGCATACTTTGCTCCTGAATATAATAGCTGAGAGAAAGGACTCTTAGCACTCAGCAAGTACCATGTGTTTTCCTAGTTCTGTTCTAGTAAGGTGCCTATCTGGCACTTTCCTATGTTTTATAGATTCGGAATTTTTAATAATTAAGTGCTTGAAGTGCTTTAAATACAATTCCAAGCATGTGCTGTGAAGTGTACCAGTGAGCCTTTATATAGTGGTGGGGAACAGGCAAGCAGTTGCAAGTGTCAGAGGAGACTAATGGAAATAAGAAAATACAGTAAAGCAATTTATTCACATTTGGCCCTTTTCTCTCTCAAAGAGAGAGCCTTAAAATAAATACACTTTCCCCTGAAACTTCCATTTCTCATCAGATTATACTGTCCTTTATATTAAATAAACTAAATTGATAGTAGAGTTTATGTCCTTTGGTCTTTCTTTCTCCAATTTGGAATCTTAGATTCAAGAGAAGTTTAGGCATTCCTTTTCCTTTATAAGAATCAGCTACTTTGCTTCCCATCTGACATTCTTGCTGGAAGAAACTGATTAGCTCGATTCTTATTCAAGGAAGTGAGTTATTTCATGGCCAGGCCTCTTTGAAGAGTTGAGGGGATTTTACAGGCATGAATAGAGAAGGTTAGCAGCTGTTTCTTCCACCTTTGGCTTGCTCTTCATCATCACCAGCTTGCTTGCTCTGTCCTTAGTTTCCTCCCTTCTCAGAAGCCCTCCTTATCTTTAAGACTCTAGCAGGGGTGGGATTCAACCGGTGTTACTACTGGTTCAGTGACTACGTTTTGCTGCGCACGCGTGTAGAAAAACCTTAAGCTGTGCAGCCCAGACAGCTGCAAAGTGCTGCACGCAGCTGCGCAGCGTTTGAAAAGCCTCTTTCCCCGCTTTTTTACCTCAGCTGTGCCGCGCAAAGCAGCTGAGGTTGAAAAAGCAGGCGGGTGGGCCCAACAGCAGCAAACACAGAACCGGTTCAGTGTCTACTGCTCTTCAGAGCTACCAGTTCTATAGAGCCGGGCAGAACCGATAGCATCCCACCTCTGGATTCCAGCACTGAGTCTGAAAGTATTAATTCCTTAATAATGAGACTTACTTCCAAGAAATTTGGTGTTTTTCCTTCCCGACATAGCTGCAAACATAGGTCCTTTCTGTAACTTTTTAAAACAAAGACACCTTCTGCTATCATGCACACTCTGAAACCTCTTTTTTGGAATAACTGCTGCTGTGCAATCCTTTTAGTAACCATTCCTTGCCTTTCCTCTAGGGACTCCACAGATGTATCTTCAGAGAGTGACAATGCCATGACCTCTAGCACAGTAAGCAAGCTTGCAGAAGCCAGGAGGACCACTTACCTTTCTGGGCGATGGGTGTGTGATGACCATAATGGAGACACCAGCATTGGCATCACAGGGCCTTGGATAACCCTTCCCAACAATGGGGATTATTCTGCTTACTACAATTGGGTAGAAGAGAAGAAAACCACACAAGGACCAGGTAATGGTCCTTTAGATGTCATTTAAACTTTTTTTTTAGTCTCAGGAGCTGGCTTCTTCATCAGTTTTTTAAAATTAATATTGAAATGCAAATTCAATGATCTTGCCCAGATATTTGGCTTATTGAAATGGGATACCATGAACCATCTTCTGACTGAGCCATGATTTTCATGGGGAGCCTAAAAATTGTAGAACATGATACTGGCTAGAGAGTTTCCCAAAAGCATATTTTTAGCTCTCATAATTGAGAAGATGATTGCTCATTAATTGTCATTACATCTCAGAAATCTTAGAAGCAAACAGATTGTCTGATCTCAATGCTTTGGCAGTCCTGGGTGCCAAAAAAAAAAAAAAAAAGACCCTTAGAGATCTCACACAAGAACTTTAGTGACACTTGGCAATCATGTGAGATTTTACAAATGTAATTTTTAAAAAGTACTTTTTATTTAAATTTGAGATTTCACAAACAACATTCATAGTTTTTATAGGTACTTTGTTCTCCATGAGTACCATATGTGAATACTTGGATTTTGCCTTTTCTGGGGTGGCCATAAAAATTATTTTTTTCCTTCTGTTCTAGACATGGAGCATAACAATCCTGCTTATACCATCAGTGCTGCTTTGTGCTATGCAACTCAGCTGACTAACATTTTGTCACTTATACTGGATGTAAACCTTCCCAAAAAGCTATATAACAGGTAAGGAATATAGAAGGAGCTGGAACACATGCCAAAACGGTTATTGAGAACATTATGTTGAGTGATAGACTCTAGGAATTGTAACCTTTATAACATAGCACTTTATATACATCAAATTTTGAGTTCTAAGATTTTGCAGAAGTAATAATAATTGTAGGTGGACAGACAGCCAAGTATGTGAATGGATTTAGAAATGGTAATAAAACATTCAAGGTGGTGGACAGCAAACCCTCTTTTGGCTTCATTTTTTTTAAAAAAACTGACCACCCAGGGCTGCAACATTCCTGGCATTTTTATCATTGGAGTAGGTGGGCATTAAATTTCATTACACACACGCACACACACACACACACAAATCCCAAATGGGAAGTTTCCTAAGTTTCTGCAAAAGTTAAACTACAGGGATGAATACTTAATATAGACATAGGGAGTTGTTTTGTAAAATGGCGTTGTTGATATTATATTCAATTTTGCAATCCAATGTGATTGGATGTTACAGAGGAAGGGAGGAATTATGTACACAATTCTGTAATAGTGGCTCCTTTCTGAAATGGAAAATAGAACTGGATTAGCCTTGTTCTTTTTCTGTTAGCTATTCCGACAAATCTATTTTGCCAAATTAGAGTGATCCAAAACATGTTGTTTGCCTTGAGTCCTTGTTTAAGATTTTATGCCTTAATATTTGCACCTTAATATATTTTGCAGTGAGTTCTGCGGAGAAAATCTTAGCAGGAGGAAATTCACCTGGGCAGTGAAAAAGCTAAATGCCAATATCCTTTACCTTTGCTTTTCTCAGGTAGTTTTCATTTGGTTTCTTTTCCTTCTTGGAAGGCTTTACATTGTTTCCTCCTCATCTTTCAAGTCCTGCCTGATGAGTATTCTGCTTTCCTTCATATGCTTTTCCAGCATGTCAACTTAGATCTTCTGCACCCTCTACATACACTCAGAAACTTGATGTACTTGGTCAGTCCTGAGACAGAACATTTGGGAAGGTAAGAAACAGTTCAGTAATAATTGCCCCACTTTCTTCCCTGCCATTACTAGCTTTATAGAAGAGCCTCCTAGCAACCCTTCTCTGTGTCAAATATCACTGTAAACAATAGTGAAGTTTGGTAAGTTATTGTATATTCAATATATGACACAAATCAGACCCACTCTGACCATCACCAACTCTCCCAAGTCCCAAGAGAGAAAAGAGAATTTGGGATGGGCCTTTTCAATTACAGACATACTTGTTAAGGAATTATGAATTTCTAGGTAAAATAGTAGGAGTTAGTTTCTGACTTCAGTTAACAGCTTGGCTATTTTTCAGTTTTGCTCATTGTGAGAAGAGAATGAAGTTTACCTCAGTTCTGCATGAATTGCCATATCCCACAGAAAAACAACACTTCTTGTAACTTGATGCTTTATGGGGACTTCCAAGTATTTATTCCCTTATTCTGTGATCTTTTTATAAATTCTTCTCCATCGTGCAAGCTTGCTCTCATGAGATTTTGAATCAGTTGCTCAGCCCCAGGTGTTACATATTCAGCTTTGACTCTTTTACTTCAGCCCTTTAAACATAAATGTGTGCGTATTTTTTCCATTTTTGCTACCAGGTGTGTGATCAAAGCATATCTCTCCCCCCCACTTTCCTCCCTCCCCTCTTCCCCTTCCCCTCTCCCAAAAGGTCTGGACCATTTGAGATCAGTGCTGATTTGGAAGATTCCATGGAGTTTGTGGACCCCAGCGGTGCTGGTGAAACAGATGAGAGTGGAGATGAGCACATAAGTGATGAAGAAACTGACCTTGGAACAGACTGGGAGAACCTGCCCAGCCCACGGTTCTGCGATATCCCCTCCCAGACAGTAGAGATGCTGCAGAGCCAGAGTACGCAGGCTTCTCAACCGATAGCCAGCAGCAGTGCTGGTGGCATGATCTCCTCAGCAGCCGCCTCAGTTACCTCTTGGTTTAAGGCATACACTGGACACCGCTAAGAAATAGTTGGGCCTCTATGGCCCACCATCACTGTAGAAGACTTTGTGATTCAGTTCAGTAGTGCCTGGAACAACAGGGGTCTGACTTTCATTTGCAGAAACTCCAGCAACTCTTTGTTTGCTCAAAGCAAGGTGTAAGTTCTTCCCATTTTCTGACACCTGCAATGGAATTCAGCAGCTCTGAGTCACAGTTTGTGTGTGTGTGTGTGTGTGTGTACGTGCGCGCTGAAGAGAAAAGAATTACCTGCACATTTTATTTCTAGTCTGTATTTTCTAAAAGAAAATAAGAAAGGCAATCATTTGAAGCATGGGGACAGGAAGGGAATCATGGAAGGAAGCAATCTTGAGAGTCATGCAAATGCTTAAACTCATCCTGGTCAATCAGTTCTAGCAATGTCCTTGGACTTCTTGGTTTTTTGGAGTGCATCATTTACAAACTTACCACACAAATGTACATTTCAGGAACCTGGAAAATGATGCTTTTTTAATCTTCTAAACTCTGTTGCCATAATTTTAATACAGAAAACCATCCTTTTTTTAAAAAAAAAAAACCTACTGGTGATAATTATATCTTTTGTATGTGTTGGTTCATTCATCCGTTGGAAGATCTTTCTGAATATTTTTCACAGTGAGCCATCCAGAGTTCCCAGGCTCCGTGTTCTAGCACCCGACACCAAAAAAAAGGCTGACCCATAATAATTTGCAAATACAGAGCCACTCTGCTGTGGTTAGAAAGTTTGTATCCATACGTTCTTTCATAGGGTGGAAGCACACTTCTCTTGAAGTTTGGTTTTGTGTACCACTTGTTCTCTTTTCTTGGAAAGCTGGCACTCCTGAGATGAGAACATGAGGACTTCTCCTTTTTGTGTCCAGTTAGTAGATACAGCATGTTGTACATAGAATTTAAATGGACAAGAATAATATAAGTGATTTTGTTTTTGAGTTTTGGAGGGATTTTGGAAGTCAAAAACGCTTTCCATTTTCATTATATTATTCTTGTCCATCTTTAACATGGGTTTTTATATTATATCTATTTCAGATGCTTCCTGGGCCATCAGTCAATTTGCACGTCTGTCTGTGTTTTTCTTTGTCTGCACAGTGTTGGTTGTCCATGCTGAGATCAGAACTTGGGGGTTAGGCATTTTTGCATTACTCTTCCCGTTAAAAAGGGCAAGGGGACAGTCTTGCAAGTTAGGCTAGTTTGAGGATTCATCACGTCTTTCATACCATCATCTTTATTTGATCATAAGAATTATTGACTCTCACTGAGTGCATCTTCCAAACCATCATGTGCGGAACTCCATTGGAAAAAAAAAATCTCTGTAACCAACAGGTCTGGGTAGGGATTGCTTATATTATAATGGAGCAACTTCATAAAGCGGTTTCTACCTTCATATTGCCTAGTGATCCAAAATAAATTGGCTAGGCCACTATAGCTTCTGTTACATGATTTATATGCTGCCCCATTTGTGGACTCTGGGTTTGTAGTTAATAGTCCAAGCAATGTGAGTTTTAGATGCTCTTCTGCCTTGGAGCCAGTTCAGACTTTCAGTAGAGCAGGTATACATCTATGATGATATCCTCTCTTGAAAGAATAGACACAAAACGTTCGTCCAACATTAATGCTTTGGAGATTCTATGTTGGGCGCTTTTTTCCTGTATTACAAAGATTTGCAGTCATGCAAGAACTTCTGAATTGGCAAATAAGTTTTATTCCATGTTTTTGTGATGGTCTTCTATTTAAGCCTGGTGTATATAAAGAAGTACATAGAGTTTTAAGTAACTTTGCTATGCAGATAGCAAAGAAACCCCCTCCCCCAAATAGGAATTTATCTGGAGTATAGGGAAACTATTCCTTTATATTTCTGTTGCTAAACCAAAGATTGCTTTAGTTAGGTGTTTTGATTTAAAACCAGATGGTGTGATTCTTCCATTCATAAGACTTAGTATAGAAAGATAGCAATACAATGATCCACAAGCATGTTTTTACAGGCTTCTGTGGAAGCCATATTGATTTACAAAAAAAGCAGCAGTGGACGGAATTGGGAGTGGCTTTGGGCTTTGTCTCAAAGATCTTTCGTGACATGGGATTGTTTTCTTACCCAATTCTGTTAATGAAACAAGTGGAGATTAAGAAGAAAGGCACTTTATTAGTTGCAGGTGATATGGGCTGCTTAACATTGTGACTGCAGGGGGGAGGATGGCAGGGGGGCTTTCAACCCTGTAAATACCATTTGCTTTTCTGTTATGTGTTCCTTTTTTCTCCTGCTTATTTTGGAAATAATTTCTAATGAACTGAGGGAAATAAATTTAAAAGCCAGTAAGCCATGAATCCTTTTTTGCTTATCAGTTTCAACTTCTTAAAATGGTGCCTCTCTCCTTCAACAGTGGAACATAGCTTTGGAGGCCACCAAAAGGCATCCAAATAGTAATAAAGGTAGGGTGCTGCTCCCTTTCAAGAAAAAAAAATATTTTTTTAACATTTTTACACTTCTAGAGCTATCTGCAGAAGCTACAAATACGTTTCTAAAATTACCGTGCAAGAGAGGAACATTCTGCTTCATGGACAGGTTTACATCACTAATTGTGCATTTTGCAAGATGTTACGGTGTCACAAAGAGCTGTATGTTTAGGCCCAAGAATTTCAACATGGGTTACTAGAAATACAGTAAGTGAATTGCTGCTTGAAAATTTATTCTCCAAACAAGGATTGCTAATCAAATATCCCTAAATCCATAACTTTTTTTTTTAGCTCATGACTTTGTGGTGCCACTCTCAAAACTAGTAATTCTAACTAAATGCAAATGTGTTTTTAAAATTGTACTACTGCAATAAATCTTTGGGTTTTTTAAAGATTGCTTGGTTTGATTTTTACTCTGTTCTGATATTACTGTTATCATTGGAACTATTACTTACTGTCCAAGTGCATGTGTTTCAGTTGGAGAACATTGAAGGAAAAAATACACATTACATGCTAAAAATATCTAGTATTTACATTATCAAGAACTTACCTAAAGATTTGTCATGAATCTTTTCACTGGATATGACTCCAAACTGAGCCCTTTTTTCCTAATTTGTGATGCATTTTAGCCATCCAGATGTAGCTAATTTTATAATTTAAGAGATGAAAATTGAAAGGAAGCCAATAAATGACACCGTGTTATTTGTAAATATTGGAATTAATAACTGACTAGCAGAAGTCTGTTATATTTGAATGTTTGGATCAAACCTAGATCTGATTCAAACTTTTTTTAGTAATTTTCCAGCAGTTCAAACACCAGTACCACCTTATTGTGATGATAAGAACCTGGCTTCTGTCAAGAGCTGTATTACATAGCTAGTATGTTCTGAATACATAGAAGGGAAATTGCACATTTAGCTGTAACATCACCAGAGGTTGGGGGATGAATTCACAGGATGGGAAGAGGCTGGTAAGATGCTTTGGCATGCTTACTGAAACAGTGGTGAATGTGACAAAAGGAAGGCAAAGTAGCTGAAGCTCCAAATGCCAGCTGTACTAGCCACTTGGCAGACAGCAGAAAAGGCTCACCGACTTGTCTTTTTCATGGAGAACCGGCTTTCTTGTAGTGCTGCAGCACTCGCTTTAAAAAAAAAACACCTCCTTATTTAGAAATCTTCAAATTCAGATGAGCGGAAAAACAAATACTTTGTGATCTACAATTAGATACCTGGATAATTTACAGCAAGTACATCTGACTCAGAAAAGTCATCTTTGGATTGAACTCCATTTCTGATTATCACATTGATGTGTCCATATAGTTTCCTTACCAATAAAAGATATAAATGATTTATCACCATTTTAGGGATGTATTTCAGTTTCCTTGTTACAGCCCCAAGATTCCCTAGTGGTTGCCTACATAAGTACTAAACTGACCTAACCCTACTTAGTGTCAAGCCAAACAAGTTGTCCAGGTGCTGTATTGTTCACTCAGATGTTCCTGCCAAAACAGCTTGAAATTAGATGTAGAATTGTCTGGCACAAAAAACAAATTCCAGAATGAACAAATATTGTGAACCATTTAGTTTGCACCTGGCTCAAGTACCTTGTGTCTTTTGAACATAATGGGAATGGATAAAATGGATATTCCTGCATGTTTGGCAATGCCTAAGTGGAAGTAGTGTCATATTTCAGACTGTATACAATATCCCATTGTGTATACAGATTACTTGGAAAAAAATCCAATTTCAGTTAAATCTGAGAATTGTTTAAGTTTAATCCAATCACAAGGATGGGTCTTGTTAAATTCCTTTTTATTTATAGCCCTTAATAGTTATGCAATGCTTTTGATTTTTAAAGTGTTTCACTGACTAAATCCTCCAAGTTTGTCCATATGAGGCTTATTGTGCCAGCCATCTTCATGGTCTATCAGAATAAGAGTTGGAAGGGACCCAATCCAACCCCTTGCTCAAGCAAGAGACCCTATACATTGGACAAATAGCTGTCCAATCTCTTTTTGAAAACCTCCAATGATGGAGGATCCCAACTTCTGAAGGTAAGCTATTCCAATGATTTAGTATTCTCGCCAGGTAGTTCTAGGTTGCTTCTCTTCTTCGATTAGCTTCTATCCATTGCCGGTTGTCCCGCCTTCTCTCTTTGGAGAATAGGTTGATCCCCTCTTCTTTGTGGCAGCCCCTGAGATATTGGAACACTGCTATCATGTCACCCCTAGCTCTTTTTTTTCACTAGACTATAGACATATCCAACTCATGCAACCATTCTTCATGTTTTAGCCTCCAATCCTCTAATCGTCTTTGTTGCTCTTCTCTGCATTCTTTCTAAAGTTCAACATCTTTTTTATATAGTGGCGACCAAAATTGAATGCCGTATTCAAAATGTGATCTTATCAAGGCATTATAAAGTGGTACTAACACTTCACATGATCTTGAGTCTATCTGTGTTAATGCATCCTAGGACTACGTTGGCTTTTGTACCTGGGTATTTGGTTTTCCTTGCCTAAATGTATAGCCTTACTTTTTCACCACTGAATTTCATTTTGATAGGGTTCAAGTCTACCTTTAGCGTTCCAAGTTTGTCAAGATCCTTCTGACCCTATCTTCTGGAATGTTTGCTACTCCTGCCAGCTTGACCCACACTTGTTGAGTGGTCCTAGGCAGGCAGTAGTGCGTTTAATGAATCCTTAATCTTACCTAGAATGTGCTATTCTGCATGACAAATTGAAAACCATGTAGGTCTTTCTTCAAATAACTTTACAAGCTAAATATTACAAAGGAGCCAACGCCGTCCTAGGCTGCATTAATAGAGATAGAATCAAGATCACATGAAGTGTTAATATCATTTTATAATAAGACCACACTTGGAATACTGCATCCAGTTTTGATTGCCCCAATATAAAAAGATTTTGAGACCCTAGAAAGAGCATTGCAGTAATAGGATATGTCTAATGAAAAGGACTAGAGGTGACATAATAGCAGTGTTCCAATATCTAAGGGGCTGCCACAAAGGGGATCAACCTATTTTCCAAAGCACCAGAAGGCAGGACAAGCAGCAATGGA